TAAATTTAGAGACTTTTTGGCAAGGGCCATTATTGTTTCCTTATGTCTCTCACTGCACCCATCAAATACAATCATCCAGTACATGATCAGTATTGTGTCAGGAAGGCTACCCTAGGTTCTGACATGAGAAACAACTCCACAATCTTAGTCAATTAACATGACAAAGATTTATTCTCATTTAGTCAAAGTCTACTGCAGGTCCACATAATTCTACAGGGCATTTATGTCCATGAGAGGATGGTTCATTGTTGCCCCTCACACTCCCACAATCACCAAGGCAAGGAATAATCAGTGGTGCAGAGTTGAGAGATGCAATTAAATGCTTCTGGCCTCAAGTGGCCAGCTACCCTCATTTCATTGGCCATAGCAAGTCAGATGGCCATGACTGACTTCAACTATATGGGGAAACACAGTTCTACTGTGTGCCTAGAAAGAGAGGGACACCAGTTATCAGTGGGCAATAGGATTACTTTCTACACATACACATATCTGTTGACTGAATGAAATCTAATATATTTTTATTATAATTTCTGCTCTATGTATAATTGCCAATCTCTTTGGTAATCCTATTACTTAACTCATTTCTCGTTTTAATTCTACCATTCCCTGTTAGACCCCAGTTTAACAAACAAAAAAGACAAATGCTAATTTAAACATTCCTCAGGATAAATTAATTTGAAGTGCTTTTGCATAACTGCGAAACCATCATTATCACGACTACACATTAATTGCATGCTTTATCTCATCACATTAATTAAACTGGTCACTAAACCTTATTCCTTCCCCTCTCTCCCAGCAAATGTTCAGATTTTACTAATGATAACTTCACAGTATGTTACTTGCCTTGCTACTACCCAGGCACACTAAAACAAATGTATTTCAAATGTAACCAGAAAACACATTATATGTAACCTAGGAAAAAACTAAAAAAGCAATATGAATGAGATACTGAAATTCTTTGCTTAATAACTCAGCATAATTGATTTATTTAATAAACACTTCTTAGGACAGATTTCAAGGGGACATTGAAATGAGACCTTGGTTTCTATAAGATGAATAACCATATCTTCAGAAAAAAAAAAAAAGGTTAAACTTCTGTTTATAGCCTTTAGTGGCTTCTTACTGACCTTACTGTGGCCTCTTGAAGCACTGACAAGTTCTGGTTCCAGCCCATCTCTCTTTCTAGCCTCATCCTATGCCCACTCCTCATACATTTGACTTTAGCTACTGGCCTGTCAATCCTGGAATCCTCCTTGTTTTTTCCCTTTTCCTCATGACATTGACTACTTAGAAAACCCAGGTCACCTATCTTGTAGAATGTCCCATATGTGGGCAAATTTGGCCCATTTTGCATAGCCCTAGAGCTACAAATAGTTTTACATTTCAAAGAGCTGTGAAAAAGAAGAGAAAGAAGAAAAAGAAGGAGAATTATATGATGGAGGCCATATGGTGTGCAAAGCCTAATGTATTTACTATCTGGCCCTTTACAAAAAACAAAAAGTTTTCTGACCTCTGTTCTTTGTTTCTTCATGTTATTATTTAGTTTATACCTCAGTTCCTTGGATTTTGGGCAGATCTAGAACTGTGCTGTCCAATAATCACCAGCCACATGTAGCTGTTGGGCACTTGAAATGTGGCTAGTTCAAATTAAGTTGTGCTATAAGGGTAAAATACACGCCAGATTTCAAAGCTCTGGGAAGAGTGTGAAATATTTCATTAATAATTTTTATGTTTATTACCATGTTAAAATAATATTTTGGATATATTGGATTAAATAAAAAGTGTTATTAAAATTAATGTCACCTCTTTCTTTTTTTAATGTGGTTATTTGAAACTTTTAAATTATATATATGGTTCACATTATATTTCCATTGGGCAATGCTGGTCTAGAGCCTTGATTGAAATCAGATTAAATATTTTTGGCAAGAATATTTCATAGCTGATCTTGTGTACATCATATTGCTTCACAGCTTGAGACACACGTCAATTTGTCCCATTATTAAGGACATGAAGTTGGACAATTTAATTAAGGGATGGTGAAGTTTAAGATTTCTTTATAGATTTTTTGTTCTCAGAATATAAACTAAAGGTGTCTAGAGTAACTTAAAAATATTTATTCAAAATATTCAAAAGTAACTTAAAGTAATTATTATCCCCAAGAGGTTATGTTATACCTTTGATAGTTTCATTTATTTCCATTTATGTTCACTTTTAGGTTTTGCTTTTTGTTTCTTTCCTTATTTTTGAATATATGAAACATTTACATGGTTCAGAAAGCAAAACTATCATATGAAAAAGTTAAACTCAGAGATCTTGTCCCCATCCCTGTCTCTTTTATCCTATATCCACCCTACCTGCAGGTAACTATTTTCATTAATTTCTGGTTTATCTTTCCTGTGTTTTTCTTTCTTCTTCTTCTTTTTTTTGGGGGCGGGGGGTTTGGGGGCAAAAACAAGCATAACATACGTAAATAAAACTATATGCATTGTTTTATGTCTTGCTTTTTCATATTTAACACAATACCTTGGAAATCACTCCCTATCAGTTCAGGGGAATCTTCCTCATTCTTTCTTTTTAAAAACCACTAACGAATACTCCACTGTGTGGGTGTACCACAGTTTATTCAATAAGTTTCTTATTGATGCTCATTTCTGCTGTTTCCAATCATTTGCTACTATAAAAATTATATATAAAAACATATGTCTATGTTTTTTTGTGTGTTTGTGGAAATATAGCTTCAGGGTAGATTCAGGAATCTCACTTTTAGAAACATCCCAAGTGATCATAATGTACAACCAGATTTGAGTACTATTACTTACTCTGTATGGCAAAAATAGAATCCAGGAACCTAGAATGGTTAACATTTTAAAAAATGAGGGATGAAAAAAAAATGAGGAAACAATAGGTAAAGAAGCAAGGTTCTTACCATCTTGAATCCTCACTTATACTATCCAGTAGAATGCAATTGAGTTATATAAACAGAAGCTTAATTTCTGGAGTCCTGTCCCCAAATCATCATGTTGGTAATAAAGATATCCTATGTATATACACATAAGTGACCTAGATTTAGGCAGTGGCTAACTTTCATTTTGGATATGTTGACTCTGAAGTAGCTAAGGCACATCCAGCAGTGGCATTTAATAGGTGGTTGTTTGCACAGGTTTGGAAATCAGATTAGGAGTATTAACTGTAAACAAAACTACGTATTCTGTCACCAAAAAGGATTTATTCAAGAGAAAGGATTGCAGTCCGGTTTGTCCAGACATGGAGAGCCAGAAGCAAGAAGATCAAGAAGCAGGAAGTCTGCTTTTACAGCAGGGAAGAGGAAGTTAAGGGGAGGGGCTGTTCCAACCATAGAGCTCTGTTGTAAACATACAGTTCTTTCTGTAAGGCTTTCTCAATGATATAGGGTATGAGAGCTCCTCCTATAATCCCTTAGGGAAGGCTTAAGGTTAGGGAATTCCTGTCTAGGTTAAAGTCTCTGTCATCAATTTTGACAGGAATCTTTAGCAGGTGAAAGATGACTGTGGGAAGGATTACAAAGTGAGAAGATGCTTGATGAAACCCTGGGGAATACCACTTCTTAAGAGGCCAGAAGAGGAGCCCAAAGACAGCCCAAATGGCCAGAAAAGGAGGAGGAAGACCGCAGAAGACAAGCCAGAAAATCTCAGGGAGCAGAGTGTTATTACAAGAAGAAAATAGTTATCAGTGTCAAATACTCTTTAGAGGTGAAGCGGTGAGGTAAGACCAAGACCAAAAGGTATCCATTGGATTTAGCAACAAAGAGACCAGTAGTGCGACCTTTGTCAGAACAAGTTCAATGTTGTGGTGGAAACAGTAGCCATTGTGGGTGTAAAAGGTATTCAACCTCACATAGATGATCCTTGGTGTTTTTGTCAGCTGCAGCAGAGAATTTTTCTTCCAAAAGCAACCGAAGTAGACATTTGTACCAAAAGGCAGGGCGAATCAGTTTTAGTATTTTTTCTTAAATCTTAGGTGCTGGCTGTTTATCTATATTAGACTCTGGCATAAAATGTTTTTGGATTTATCAGTGTATGCCTTGTGACTTTAGGTGTATTGTTAGTAAAGTAACTTCATAATAGTATCAAAATAGTAATGTAGTAATATATTTTATGGTGTTCATCAAAGAGCACCATGATTTTCAAATAGGATCTCCATCAAGTATGAGCATCATGGCTTCAGAATTATTAAGCCAGTTTTTCTCTCTTCCAGTTCGCTTCCCCTGTTCCCGTCTATACTCTGGGCTACAAATATATAGGTTTTTTTCGTTTGTTTGTTTTTGTTTTGTTTGTTTGTTTTTTTGCCCCACTGTGAGCAAGTAGCAGCTTAAAGAAATTTGCAAGACAAGGCTGTACTCGCCAAGGAAAAATTAAAAAGGAATTTCAATGTCACTTAATCCAGTGTTTTTCCAAATCTGGCTGTGCATAAAAACGGACATCCTGGAACATGCGTTAAAAACACAGAACCTGGGGTCCCTGCCCTCGATCCTGATACAATGCGAATGGAACGGGGACTAGAGAAATGTACCTTGGATAAGTACCTTTAACGACAGAAATTCAACTTCGTAAGGAAACGGAGGCACAAAGCAGTCACGACTAGACAGGCGGGTCTCCGGATTGGAGATCTGCTGTTCTGTGCTTTGGCTGGTGACCAGCCGTCTTGAATGGCATGTAGATTTTTGTTCTGGGGGGGGTCTCGTTTTGGAGGGCTTGCTTTTCCGACCCGCTAGGCTCACCAGATGTGGCCCTCCCCCGCAAGTCTCTCTCCGCAGGAGACGTCGTAGGCTACGAGTTCAGTAGGTGCCACACCTGCCACTGCCCAGCGGGCGGGTTTTGCCCAGGCACCGGGTGGAGTCTGCCTGCGGTGCGCAGCGGGAATAGCTCCTCCCGCGTCTGCGCGTTGCCCAGCCCCTACCCCGCGCCCTCCCCGAGCCTCCGCCGCCGCCCCGCCCCGCGCGCGCCGCGTCCTGGGAAGTGCACGGTCTCGCAGTCGCGCCGCTGATTGGCTGTTGGTGGACCTGTTCCTAGCCCGGGGGTTCTGGACTTGGGGTCGAACTTCGGGGAACTGAGTTATGGCTTCCTTGAAACCGCTGTTGCGCGAACTGCAGGGACCTCTGCTCCCACTCAAGGACCTGGTGGAGGAGAGCGATGACTACTTGGAGGAGGATGAGGAGGATGAAGAGCCGATGTTCGTCGATGCCGAGGAGCTCTGCAGTGGAGGCCTAAAGGCTGGCAGCCTCCCTGGGCGCCTCCGGGGTGAGGAAGCACCCTGCCCCCCGGGGATGGGATTGGAGGACGAATGAACGATTTCCCACTGTGGCCTTGTCTCAAGTCAGGCGCCCTGTCGCTGTTAACAGACTGCCTTTGGGATGGCCTAGCTGTTTTGTCCTACTACGGATAAAATAATATTAACACTATGATAGCAGGGACTTGAGCAAGTACTATGTGTTAAGTTTAAGTTCTGCATGTATTATCTCATGTAATGTTCACAGCTCTTTGAAGTCGTTTTATAGTCGAGGATATTTATAACAGGCAATGTGGGGGCTTTTAACTACTTCTCTTTCCTGCTTATAGTCAAATATGTGGTTATTTTTCAGCTACTTAGAAAACACGCATACTTAAGAAGAAACACCTTAAGGCATTATTGATTCATTAACCTTGTGTTCATAATCTGAATATCCGTGTTTACCTATGGTTTCATGTGCCATAAATTATATCTGTTTGTACATTGTGACTGATCTTTAAGAATATTTTAGAGTTCAGACCAGTGCTGTCCAGTAGAATTTTCTGCGATGATGGCATTGTTATGTATTTGCACTGTCCGGAACAATAGCTCCTAGTCACATGCGGCTATTGAGAACTTGAAATGCAGATAGCGCGACCGAGTAGCTGAAATTGAAATTTAATTAATTTTAGTTAATTTAAATAGTCACGTGTGTGGCTGGCACAGATTTAGACAGAAAAATACCCTGCAGGGATAAGATGATGAGGTTGCTGCCTTACTAGAGCTTACCTGCTAGTGAATTAAACAGACATTCTGTAAACAATCACAGAAATAACTGTAATATTACTTAGTGCTTAGAAGGACCAGTAAGTAGTGCTATGTAAGCTTATACGTATGAGATCCAAGGAAGTGACAGTTAAACTGAGGTCTGTAGTAAATGGGATAAACAAAAGGAGGAGACTATTTAAGGCAGATAGAACAGCTTATGCTAGGGCCCTGTGGTGGGAGGGACCACGGCATTTTTTAGAGACTGCATGAAGTTCACTTTTGGCTTAGTTCAGAGTAGCAGAGAGAGGACTGCTTTTAGAAGAAGATCAGCAGACTTTTGCCATGTACCTACCATGCTTACCTCTTGGAATACAAAGACAAATGAAACATTGTCATATTCTAGAGAGCTTACAGGATAGTAGAGGGAGACACATAAGTGGTAAGTGGAATGTGGACACCCTAATAGACTTTGGTATAGGGTGCTCTGTGTGTGGTGGTGGTGGTGGTGGGAGTGTTCAAGAAAATGGTGGATTTGATAAAATATGGGGAGAGAGATTTTTTAAATATACTAAATTAACTTTTCTTTGTTAAAGTTGTGATTTTTGATGAAAACACTCAAGAGAAGTGTGAAGTGCTTGGACGTTTTCCATTAACGGGTCCTTGGTGGCGAGTGAAGGTACAAGTAAAGCCCGTGAGATCAAGGAACTATCAAGTTCAAGGATTTCCATCTTACTTTTTACAATCTGATATGTCACCACCAGATCAAAAACATATCTGTTCCCTCTTTCTTAAAGACTGTAATGTCCCCAGTGATCATATAAATAAATTTTTAGCGTGGGTATCTAAAGTATCAAGCTTTAAAGACCTCAACTTTGAAAATCTTTGGGAAACATTAAGAACTTTCTACAAAGAACTTGGGAGGAATGGTCAAAAACAATCGACACAGACTGAACAGAAAGAGTCCCAACCAGATCATGAGATGTGCCTTCCTGTGGAAAACACAAGTAGGTGTGATTTTTAGCATAGAGGTTTAGTGTAATTGAGATGCTTAATGACTAGCGTGTTTTAAAATATTGCTGCTATGGTATCTTGGCATAGTTATTTTTGTAAAATAACTATGGTGAAAATGTCTTTATATTGCTTTTGGAGCATGTCATTGACATTCCAAAATGTCGGTGTGTTACAACTAAATATAAAGTTTTTATGCCTGTCGCTCTTATGCAGTGAATTTATAAAGAAATACAAAACAACAAAATTCCAGGTTTTCCTCATCTTTAATGTGAAGAAATTGAGTGAGATGATCTTTAGGCTTTTTTCAGTTCCTTTCCTGGTCCAATTCTGTGTTTCTCTCTCTTTCTTTAAGTTTTGTGTCCATAGGATTACTTTGAGTCATTAAGAAAAAGTTCAGTTGTCAATTAGTCTATTTAAGAAAGCAGAGGAAAAAAGTAAGAACATGAATCATCCATTTTGGAAAAATTTCAGTCTAAAATGACTTAAAATAATTTTTTAAATATGGTTTGTTATTTGGACATTCACATATATAGATGGAATGTTTCATTTCTTAGTTATATTGAATAAATTTGGCAGAATGTCATCGAATGACTTCAGTGACAAAAAGATCATGATTATAGTCAGAAAAATGATTATAAAGGCTAATATGTAAATAACTTATGTTTTATGTTTAGCTTTGAATTCATATTTATATTATCGAGTCAAGAATTTTATTCTAGTTGTTTGCAAGCAAAAGGAAACAAAAGGCTAAGAAGTAGTTATCTGAGCATTTAAAAAACATAAATTTTGGTGTTAAACACAATGAACAAAAGAAATTGTTATAATATCAATTTTCTTGCTGGTTAAAGTAGATTTATTCATCTCTCTTTGATTTGGATTTCTTGAACTGATAGTGCTTAGTGAAACAGTCCATCAAATCTCTTGTTCTGTGAGCTAATTTGTATGTTTTGATTTATTTTCTGATATCCTGTAGTTCCATTTATAAATGTAATGACAGCGTTGCGGTTTCCAAAAATAATGGAATTCCTTCCAGTTCTTCTGCCTCGACACTTTATACAGCTAATAAGCTCAGGTTCCAAAGAGGTGCTGGAAAAGATAGAAGAGATTTTAGGTGCATGTCCGTGGAAACTTGGGTTTAGTAAAGTAAGTACGACATTTGCTTAGCTTTTAGTAATTATATATAAGGCAGGATATCTCAAACTTGACAATTGTATCTCTTTCAAAGGAAAAAAAATTGTATGGACTTAAGTGTTGATTTATTTTTCTTTGAGTGTTACAACTAAATATAAACTTTTTATTTCTATAGTTCTTATGCAATAAGTTTATAAAGGAAAACAAAATAACAAAATAAATGCCATTCAAATTAATAATAATTTACTTATATAATTTAATTTAATATGACAAGTTTTTTTGTAGTTTAGTTACCATTTGCAACTTGAGTCTAAATTTCATTGGAGACACAAGTTCTTATGAGTTTGGCAAATCCATTCTGCTGTGCAACTCAATCCCCCACTTTCCCATTTGAACTTTTGAAAACTTTCACTATTTATATGATACAGCATAATATCATTTGATTTTTTTGGTACAGTAATATCATTTATAAATGACTATACTGTTATTATTAAAAACCAAGAGCAGTAAAGTGGCACTATGTGGTGTTGGAAACCAAATGTGGCACTTAAATTTTGGCAGTACTTGGTTAAAGGTGGCTTTCCAAATGCAAATACAATTTAAAAATTCTGAGATAATTTTTGGATCCCCAAGAATGTTGACAGACTCCCTGTGGAGGCGATGGTATAAAAGAGAGAGCTCTTCTGTAGAGAAAGACTTTCCATAGTAGGGAGTTAATACAAAAATATCTAAAATTTAAAATAAAATTAAGGAATAGTAGAAGCAATACTTAGAAACGCAGATTCTGGAAGAAATAGCAGAAAGTGTTGGAAATGCCTTTAGAGACATGGAAAGGGTGAGTCAGGGAACTCCTGTTTTTAGTGGTAAATCTCAGAGTGTTTATTTGACTTTTAAAATCAAGTGTACTGTTTTGAGAAAGTTTAATTTTAAAATTATATAGATCTCTAATCACAAGACAGTCTATTAAAAACTTTAGTGATGTTTTAGGTACATAGTTTTTGTTCTCCAAATTTAGTTAAAATAACGTGTCTAATGGGACTTAAAAAATTATTAACAAATAACACTGCTTTTACTATAATTCTAATACTACTCATCAACATTTATAATTTTTATAAAGCAACTTGAACTTTATTTTCTTAAAGATAACCTACAGAGAACTGAAGCTTTTGCGATGTGAGGCGAGTTGGACAGCGTTTTGTGAGTGCAAGTCTCTTATCCAGTTGATGAATGATTTAGAGAAGAATGCATTAATAATATATTCTAAACTGAAACAGATATGTAGAGAGCATGGGCACACGTATGTAGAAGAAGCTGATTTAACCTCTCAGTTGTCAGACCAAATGTCTTTTCTTGATGTTTGGATGTCTCTGAAGTTTTTGAAGGATATCAATGTGGTGACATATAAGAGGGCCTGTATTTTTCCTTATGACCTTTATCAGGCTGAAAGAGACATTGCCTCTTCAGTAGGTGACCTGATGATGAGGCCTCCATGGCATTTACACGTCGATGTCAAAAAGGTGCTTGCGTCTATTCATATCACAAAACCTGAGAATTCAAGAAGTGATGATACATTGAATGAAAGTAAACCTGATGAAACAAGCTTAGAAACTTCTGCGGACATTCTGAATGCACAGGAGAGTGGTGACCATATTTGGGATACGGGTGAAAATGAAGATGATGCAGAAATAAGTGACGATCAACTGGATCAGGATCAGGTGGCTGCTTTGAAAATGATTTGCTCCAATGCTGTGACCGTCATAAGTGGGAAAGGTGGTTGTGGGAAGACCACAATTGTTAGTCATCTTTTTAAACATATAGAGGTATTGGAAGAAAGAGAAGTGAAAAAAGCTTGTGAGGACTTCGAACAAGACCAGGATGTGCCAGAAGAATGGATTGCCTTTACCGAGCAAAGTCCACTGAAGGCAGACAAGGCTATAGAAGTTTTACTTACAGCACCTACAGGGAAAGCAGCTGGCTTACTGAGACAGAAAACTGGTTTTAGTGCTTATACGCTATGTCAGGTAAAACCTTTTATATTTTTTTTTCTCTAGAGAAAACATTTGCTTTAAAGACAAATTTTACTAGTTGATTTTTCATTTCTTCCTGATGACCATCAGTAGGTATTTCCTGAATGTCTTCCAGATCCCTGCCTTATAGTAGCTAATCCTAAATGATCAGTGCCATTCGAAACAACCAATCCGTAAACTGTTACTGGTTTGCAGTGAGATAAGAGCTAGTGTAGAAAGTCAATCACTGTTTCTTTCAGTGAGAAGTTCTTATGAAAAAAAGTCAGCTAAACTAAGGTATATGCCCAATGATGTAGTTAGTTTAGATTCTGACACAGGCTCTCTTTCTTATTGGGACTAGTTAAAAACATGTCATAGTCCACAGACCATATTTTAAGAAGCACGGGAGTTGGAAGGAAAAAGTTTATATTGTATAGAGTGGAAAGTTCCATGGAATGAAGACTTTGATGATCTGGTTTAGTTCTTTATCTCCTTCATCCGCAGCAGTGCCTGGCAAATAGTAGTTACATAATAAAAATTTCAAATGAATTGATGTGCTTGAAAAAAATAATTTTGGCTGTCATTAAGAATCATGAAGTTTTAAACTTGTAGAGTGTTGTTGGTTCCTCTAGCCCTGACCACCATTTTGTAGATCAAGGAACTTAGTTGTTGGAAGATTTCTGAAGGAAAATATTAGGGGAAAAGCCTTTTTGAAGGTATTGAGGAAAAGGATCATAGTGTGTTGAAGGTTTTGAAGTGACTGGATTGATTGGAGTGAAGTCTGTGTATGGCAAAATAATGGAAAAACTTTAGTTTAGACTGAGAATTTGAGCTTTAAAGTTGGTAAAGTATTTTGACATATCATTAGATCCTTGATAAACCAGTGAAGTGGGTAAATGATGCTATCTCTGTTTTACAAAAGAGCCAGTTGAAATTTGAGAATGTTAAACGACTTGCCCAAGATCTTAACCAGGTGCAGAACTAGCACTTGATTTCAGATTTCTGACCCCTGCCCACCGCCCCCCAACCCCAGCTTGTTGTACTTTCTACAATGCCATAGTTTCCTCATTTATTGTAGACTTTAAAACCTAACAAAGAATCTTGGACTTCATTTACTGGGAAGTCATTACTGGGTTTCTAAGCAAGGAAGTGAAGCGAAAGCAGTTTTAAAGAAGATTGCGTAGAATTATAGAGCTACGAGCCGCCTCAGAAATTACTTCGCTCACTACTTTTATTTGTTACATGAGTGAACAGAGACCTAGAAAAGTTCAGTGTAGCTCATTGGTGGTGAAAGGATCT